TACTTTCCATGCTGTAATGGATTGTTTTTAGAAACGTGTCATATTCCACTTATTAGGAGAGGTAGTGTTCAGTTTCACAAATGAGTGAAATTCTTGAAGGCTAAAGTAGGGAGTAGTTTGAGTGTTCTAGCCAACTTGGTGGGGGATGAACGAGTTAAACCTCGGTCTGATTTTGTATTGGTGGTTTTAGACTTTCTGGATGTCTTTCTGGATGAACTACATGGACTACCCCTACAAAGAGAGATCTATTTTACAATTGATCTCTATCCAGGTACTGAACATATATCCATTGCTCCTTATCGGATGGCACATTTGGAGTTAAAGGAGTTAAGGAAACAATTGGACTAACTATTGGCTATTGGGTTTATCCATTTAAGCACTTCACTTTGGGGAACACATATACTCTTTGTGAAGAAGTATGATAATATGCTCAGATTATGTACGGATTATCGAAAGTTGAATCACATAATATTGAAGAATAGGTTTCCTCTACCTCGGATTGACAATTAGTTTAATCAGTTGAGTGGTTCTAACTACTACACAAAATTTGATCTTCGTACTGGGTGTCATCAGCTAAGAATAAAGGAGGAGGATATTCCTAAGACTATCTTTCGTACAAGATATGGTAATTTTGAGTATACTATGATGTCATTTCAATTGGCCAATGCTCCTACAGCAATTATGGATTTAATGAATATAGTGTTTAGACGTTATTTAGATTAGTTTGTTATCGTCTGCATTGATGATATTTTTATCTATTTGAGGACACACGAGAATCATGCAGAGCATATCAAAGTGGTGCTACAAACATTGAGGGACCACAAATTGTACACTAAGATAAGTAAATGTGAATTTTGGATGAAGGAGGTGAAGCTCCTTGGACATGTGGTGTCGGAACAGGGAGTAGCTGTAAACCCTGCCAAGATTGAGGCAATGATGAAATGGGAATGACCTCATAATGTAACAGAAATTCGAAGTTTCCTGGGTGTGGCCGGTTGTCACAGGAGGTTTGTGGAGGGTTTGCCACTCTAAAGGAGAAGCTGACAATGACACCGGTACTCCTATTGGTGAAAATGCATAATGTTTCATTACGGAGATTGGAACCCTAGCTAGGGGTCTTATCCCAGTCAAAGATGTTATCCAATGGCACAAGTTGTCTGCTGAACAACAGAACCCTACCATTGCATGACTCTTGGTAATTTAATATTTTTTCTATGTTTGTAGTTAACATATATATTTATTTTTTCTTGAAATGATATACTATTTTTTTCGTGCAGACTAAGTTTACCGTTGTGGGATATGGTGAACTTAATCATGTTGTGGAATTCATTGACAAAAAGTTTGTTAAGTTGTATAGTGATTACCATCTTAAAATGCACAAGTACTACATTAGATTGGATCTAAAAAGTAAGTCTTAACGAGAAACTAGTCAGTAGGATTGGATTTATATAATAGAGCATGTTTACAAGGATCAAAACTTCCAAGTAATCTAATATATGTTGTAGTGATGTTGATGGCTTTTAATGCAACATTACTAGTAATTTGGTGTTCCAACATAGATTTTTTTTTTTTTTTTGTAGAAACAATCAAAGACAAATTCTAATAATCATGCTAAGTTGTTCTATAATCACACGATGGATTCCAAGTCCTTTTCCTTTTGCGATGTAGTCTATGGTTATGATTTTTTTTTAACTTAAATTTGTTTGTCTTTCATTTTGTTTAAAATGTTGAAATTATATAGCTTCATGTGAATTTTTGAAAATAGTCAAACCCCGAGACACACGAGCCGCCTCATATCGTGGACTTCTTTCATAAAACCCACATCAGCAAGTTGTCAAGGAAGTTGACCTCACTAGAAGCAGAATCTCGATATGTAAGAGTATCAATTCCTATGTATTTCATTTTGAAAATTCATTGGTTTTGTTGGGTTATAACTTTTTAAAAATTCCAAGATCGGATGGAGGAGTTGAAGTAAGGGTTTTCATGGGCCAGGTTACCCACAAGTCTCATTATCCGGCCCCGAAAAAATAGGTTTGAAATCAGATAGACCCGATAATTGGTCCGCCCAAGCCCGAACTCAATATCCTTAAAAAGATGGTTTGAGTTTATTCTCCAAACTCATTACCTCGCCCAATAGTCCTCCTGAAAAAACCTGTTAAAACCCAGCCAAGAGCCCACCCGCCAAGCTTAGCCTGTCCACCCTTCCTTTGAAAAAAAGTTATACTTTTAAACGATTAAATTTAAAATTTTGAAATAAGTCGCCTAATATTTTTGAAATTTTAAAAATTTAGATACTATAAATAATGTATTATTTTCTTTTTCATGCATTAAGCATACAAGTTTTAAAGGGTAGAGTAATGCAAATGATAGATAAGTAAGTAGGTGTCAACCTAGGTAGGATGTATTCATTTTATTGGATATAGTTCATCCCCTAATCAAAATAAAATTATTCATTATTTTATTTTTACCTATTTTTACTCTACTTTTTATTCAAAAATATAATTAACACAAATATTAAATTATAAAAATATTCATTATTTTTAAATGAAATTGTATATAAAAAATTCTGTGAACGGACCAACCTAGCAAACCCGCCCAATAGGCTTGCGGGTAGCCTACCCCTACCCAAAGTCCAACCCAGCCCACCCGATAACTCACTTGGGTAAAGGCTTGGACCTACATTACCCAGGCCCAGCCCAAAAAAAAATTCACGGGTCCAGCCCTACTCGGCCCATGGACACCCCTAAGTTGAAGGATCAACCCACAAAGGTTAGTGCATCCTCGTTGTCTCGGAAGGAGCAGTGTCCTTGGCACTAAGCCAGCTATAAGAAGGATTATGGGGTTGGCCCGAAGACATCTTTTTCGATAAAGGTTGCCAAGACTAATGCACATGAGCAGGAGGTGAGAGGTTTGAAGGCAATTATAGGGACCTTCAACAGTGAAAATGAAACCAAACTGAAAGAGTTGGATGAGACTAAGACAAAACTTGAGCAGATAGAAAAAAAGACAAGAAATGATGTTGCAACAAATGATAGAGGTGAAATTGGCGGTGCAACGTGGTGGGGGCAATGGGGAGATTGGCGATACCACTTCATCTTGCTAAGCATTTTCGATTCTAAACATGTGCTTAATTTAAAATATATTCTAGTAAATAATTTTTCAGTTGTGTTAATGCACTTTTTGTCGTGTTTGATGCAAATTGACAATGGATTACTTGGAGTTGGTTTAGGCAATGAGATCTCTTCCTTTATAATTTAAGTAGTTCGAGTTCATGTGACATCTGGATATTATGGCCTTTGGTTTTTTTCACTTTGGGTATTTACATGGATATTTTGGTATGGAATTTTTGTATGAGATTTAGTATGGACATTTGGATATGAGTTCTTGTATAGATGTTTTATATGGGTTTTGTATAGATGCTTTGGAAAAAAAAAATTATTTTTATGGATTATTTATTTTTTAATGATCTTCAATGACTGAAACACTACAGTGAATATATTTTAAATTTTTATAGGAACAAAAGTAGTCATAAAATTGCCATTACTTAGAAACAATTTTGTTTAGCGATGAATAAAATTTGGTCATTAAAAGTCTCTTATTTTTTGCGGCTAATAAATTTGGTCGCCTATTATTTGAGGGTGAGAATATTCATTTGTTATTTGACGTCGAAAATACGTTAGTCAATATGCCTTGATTTTTAATAGTGACAAATATTATGTCATCACAAAAGAGAGAAAAAATACGACCACAATATAATTTCCTTAAGCAATGAAGGATTTTTTTGCGATGACCAAATAAATTTTTAAGGGACTAAGTTTTTCGTCATTAATAGTCTACTTAGCAACCATACAGTTGTTGGTTGCCAAAAAATTTCAGAGACAAGCCTACCACGACGAAATTGTGAAAAAACTTTTAGTAGCAAATTATTCACGTTTATCAATGAATTTTTTCACCACTAAAGAACATTTTTCTTGTAGTACCTATTAGTGTGCATAATATAACACACAAATTAAAAGACAGTTAAGTGTATTATATTATGTACACTCCATTGCGCTTAAAAGGCTTGGCGTTCTTCTATTTGTATGTGGCAATTTTATTGGGCTTATCTACTGGTTAGTGATGACGTTGTTGAATGGAATTTTTCTCCCTGTCGTTGCTGCTATTAGGTTTCGGCACTTCGGAAATCAAAGTCCTGAAAAGCGGATCACAAAGAAAGTCTTTTTTTCCGTGCTTGTCAGGTGCTAGCGAAAAAATATCGTAAATTCGATTTACTGTGATTTCTCTAGACAGAAAGGGGCCATACAATCTACTTTCGATATTGATCACAGAAGATAGAGAGCAACCCTTCTTGTCTATTTAGTTAAGCTAAAGACATAAGTAGGAACTAATTTTATCATGTACATATAGTGATGGTTTTTGGTTTCACCTTTATCCTCTCAAATTTTTTGCTCCATCATGTGGTGCATACCAGTGCACTTTTTTTTTTTTTTTTGAATTCTAAAACTTCGAATACGGGTAGCCAGAATTTTGTTACTGTTACATGAGTTGTTGGAAGTTGGTTTGATTTTATATTTTGATTTAATTGCATATATTATGTTTGTTATGCATATGACCATTGGTTAAGTACAGAAAAAGATAATGGATTAATGGGTGGCATTGGAGCCCAATATGAATAATGCATTAGAGTCCATGTATATTGATTTATATATAAACCCACCAAAGTGGGATTAAAAAGGGTCGAAATTGACACCATTCCAATTAGAATAAAAATTAAAAATTTGCCCTTAAATTGAATCAAACACTTCGTTGGACAAAAGGTATTAACGTCAAAAGCAATTCCATCATTACAACTGATTTGATATCCCACAGCAGGGCAAGTTTTTTTTAACTCCTCTTCAACCACTTCCAAACATGGTATAAGATAAAGATATATTATATATCTATCCAAACCTATCTCAAAACTCAATTGGATGGGTTTGAATTGGCCTACTTAAACTAATCCTAATAAGCGAAATGAATCAAACGGCCCAGCCAGGGCTACACAGATTCTGATGTTACATAATTCTCAGAGTACATCTAAAGGGATACAACTGAAAGCTTCCTGCCAAATAAATACAACTGTACAAGAAATTTCTTGTTAGTTTGATACAGTAGTCTATGGCCAACATCTCGAGTTTATAGTCAAGTCAGCTTATACAAAAATTAAATGAAGAATGTACTCAATTGCAAGTACATGGACTGACACATAATTTTAAAAAAGCAATTATACAACACAGCCACTACTCACCTGATTCATAATTCTTCATGGTCTTCAGAGCTCTCATAAGCAGTAGACCCGTAAACATTGGACTCTTCAGAAGCCTCAGAGCTCATATACACAGGACTTTCAGAAGCCTCAGAACTTTCAAAGGCAGAGGTCTCCTGAATATTTTTGTTTGACGGAGTGTCAAAAACTTCCGTTTTCTCATCGTCAGAACTATCAAAAGAAAAAGTCCCATACGCTCTTTCATCCAATGGAGTTTCAAAGACTCTAGTTTCTTCTGATTGAACAAATTGAAGTAAGTACTTCACCCCATTGACCACATCATACACCATTAGCCCAGCCCTTCCTCCAACCCAACTTCCCAAATGGCTTCCCACCAGATAGCCGAACCTCCCAAATCTTTCCTCTCCTAGGAACCCAACAGCGTAGGCGCCAAACAAGGTTCCTGTGCCCCTAAGGAACCCTTCTGTCATTGTTCCTCCATAGTAAATTGCTTCAAAAAAATCCCATCCAGAAGAAATGATAGGGCCAATAATTTTCTTCGCTTGACGTTTCGCCAGTTTTGCTGCTTTTGCACCTTCTTTCTGAGCTTGTTTGGATGCATCATTGGGATTCAGACCTTGTGAGAGTGCATCAACCAGTGCTGTCTCAATTGCTTGATTCCTTGATCTCTCAACATGAGCAGATCGGATGCTGTAGAAATAGAGCTTTACACCCTCCTTCACTGCGCATGCCAGGGTTCCAGATCCCCCATCAAAACAATTTAGAAAAGTAAACTTCCCACTCTTGGATGCAGCCTCTTCACCAACCAGCTGCCGGCATTTTTCAGCTGTAAAAGTGCAGAATGTAAGAACAATGCCTCCAGGACTTTTTCTTCTTTTTTGTTTTTTGTTTTTTGGATAAAAATAACTATTAAACAGAAGGTAAAGAAGAGAAAAACAGGTAAGTAGCATAATGAGCAAAAGAGGTAATTCCATGAATGTAGCAAAGAAAGCATTGGACAAGCCACTAAATACTATTTTTTGGTTATTGCAAGCACCAAGAATTCACAAACTTCTCAACAGATATTGCTAGAACTATTCTTTTCCACCATAACTCAAGGAAAATGTAACTGCAGAAAACTTCCAATTACATGCACACAGATATTCCACACAACTAGTAGTTTAAAGTTGAAGTCGTATAAACCACCTTTCTCTCCCCCTCTCCCATCGTCCCATCGCCTACCTGAACCCACTACCAGTCTCAACCTCTCAATCCTTCTGATCTCCTTCTTTACCATCAAACTTAGTTTTTCACTTGATCAATTAGTTTCTTTATCTTATTACTCCAGTATTTGTCACCATTCTAGCTCCTATTCTGATCAGCCTTCATCATCACCTCACAATCTTATCCTCTATTTTGCTTCCTATCATCCTCTCCCCCCATTCTAGCTGTTATCCTTCTTACCTCTTTTCCATATTTATTATCCTTATAACTACCAAACTCCCTGCATGAGTCATGGATGCCACTGGAATTCCAATTTCTGAGTGGGAGATTGGTCTTAATGATAAGAAAAAGAATAGTAAAGCCAATGCAAAGGATTCTTCCAGTTCTATTGCTATGAAAGGCTGATCCCCCATGCATCAAAACACTGCAACTCAACTCTGGCAGCAGCAAAACCAGTTTACTCCCATGGAGGTCAGTGGGCCAGTAGCTGGGATGAAAGAGAGTGCACCTCACGTGATCTCTACCTCAAGTTTGAATTCTGAGAATGCTCCAACCCAAGATATCAGAGGTAAAACAGTCATACTCCATTCCCCCAAGAAGCAGACAGGTTCCCCTGGGGAGGTGCCAGGTTCTTTTCCTGTTGATAAAGACGGGTACTTTTTTGCCTTCTGCCCAAAATGAGGGAAAAGCTGATAAAAGGAATGGGCCAACCCAGAATCCAAAATGGAGCCAAATAGTCCAACATGGAAATCGGGATAACCCATACTCAAAGTAACATGGAACTTCCAGAAGCCACATGAAGTTGAAATGCTACAAGCCAGCTAAAGATGGAGACAGAGTCCCCAAAAGAAGTATCTCAAAAGGGTTATATCAACTGGGAACACTGCTTGTTTGGCTATTTTTTTTTTTGGATAGGCAACTATACAATACAAGGGAGGGGGAGGGGGAGGTAAAGGGGACGGGGGACTCAAACCATCATCCTTGCATAGTCAGGAAGATTGATAGAGTATTGGTTTATGAAGCATGGAGCTTGCAGCACCCTAACTCTATGGATGAATTTCTTACTACTAATATCTCTGACCAAAGCCTAGCAGTTGTGAGAATGGGAAAGAAAATGGGACCTAAAAGGTTCATTACTAATGGACAAGAAACAAAAGTATGCAAGTTTGTTAAATCTCTTTATGGTTTAAAACAAACATCAAAGTAGTGGCACGAGAAATTTGACAAAGTAATACTGTCAATGGGTTTAAAATAAATGAGTGTAACAAATGTGTATATCAATAGCACTCATAGTAAATACGTTATTGTACGTCTTTATATAGACGATATGCTAATTATAGGTAGCAATAATGATGACATTAAAGCTACTAAACAGATGTAGACCAATAGGTTTAAAATGAAACATTTAGGTGTTCCTGGCGTTATATTAGGGATTAAAATTTCCACAACGTCAAATGGACTCACGTTATCTTAATATCACTATATTAATAAAATACTTAATAAGTTCAAGAAGTATGAGATAAAACCTACGAGAACACCTGTTGATGTTAACATTCATCTTTCTAAAAATAATGGCGAAAGCATATCTCAATTAGAATATGCACGTATAATAGGTAGTCTAATGTACATCATAAATTGTACATATTTGGATATAGCATACTTTAGGAGTAAGCTAGGTCGATATACAAATAACCCCGGGAAAGGTCATTGGAAAGCAATAATTAGAGTTTTGGGATATTTAAAATATACCCAAAACTATGGTTTGCATTTTACAAAATATTCAACTGTACTCGAAAGATATATTGATGCTAACGGATATCCGATACTAAATATTCAAAATCCACGAGTAGAGGTCTTTACCTTGGGAAATGCAACTGTGTTTTGAAAGTCTAATTAGATCTACAATAGAATCTGAATTCATTATCTTAGTGAATATTCCAAATTGATCAAAGTCTGTGCCAGTAATATGTTTACATTATGAAAGCTAATTTACGATTGTAAAGATACAAAATTGTATGTATAACGGTAAATCTCGACACATGCGTTGTAGACATAATACTGTTAGTCAGTGCTCTCAAATGGTATTTTATATATATATATCCATTGACTACAAAAAGTTAAAGGATAATATCATGGATCCGCTTACAAAATGTTTGACTAGAGAACAAGTAGAAAGTTCATCAAAGGGAACGGGTTTAAAGCCTATTACTTAACCAAGAGTCACCACAATGACAACTCAACCTAGTTAACCGGAAATTCCAAAATCTAAGTTCAAAGAGACAACTAAATTATGTGTAATTCAGAGACGCACTGAGGAGGTTTTCAACTCCTTCACATTCCTATAATGAGACAGTGCATATCTACTTCGAGAACTAGGGTAAGTTAGGCTTTCAATGATTTATGTGACTTAGAAAAGTCCAAGTATTTATAATAGGATACTCTAAAACAGAAATCACTTATGTGAGTAAGAAGTGGGCCATTTCTATAAGAATCATAGGCTGAAAACTCTAAATTAATCATGAAACCAAGTGGTGTTCAAAGCCAAATGAACACAAACATGAGAACCAACCATGTTTAAAAAAAAACTGTGTGAATTTTATTGTTTTGGTTTACACAAATAGCTGACAGTTCAAAGACATCAAGTCCACTGATTAGCCAAATAAATCTGATAGTCTTCCATTGAGGAAAGTTTAAGGCCACTAGGCTACTTATCCCGATGTAATAACCTTTCAACTGTATTTTAACTAGTGTCATCATTTTCATACATGATACAATTTTCTTTCATATGGAAGATTGTTGAAAACATGGTTGTTTAACAAGTGATTTTGAGCAACTTTTGGCTCAAATAAAAGAGAAACTCACACACCGAAATTAGTAGAACCATGTTTAAACATATTCTCTTATGCGAGGAGATTAACGTAATATATTTATTTGTTCAAAACCATGATATAGTAAATAAGAAATTGTATCTCAAAGTGACCCACTTGAATGGATAGAAGAAACTAAGAATGATATGGTACAGTGTAATAAACTTTGTCCCACATTAGAAAGAAACTAAAAATTTTGTGAGTTAATATACTCCTAATCCTAGTTGACTTCATGGGTTGGACCCTAAGGAGTGCCACACTTTTGCGAGCGGAGCGACCACCTACACAACCTTAATTACCACACACGTGCGCGCTGCTTGGGCCTTGAGTCAAAAAGACCTTATTTTTTTGCTAAACATTTATTTGCCGCGGTGTAGGTTATGAATCAAATCAAATGGATCCGAACGTGTGTCGCACTTAGTCTTCCAACTTAAATTCAAAAATTTTGTCCATTATTTTTGAATTGGATGCTGAATTTTTTTGTGTCTTTTCACACTCCAGAAATTCTTTTTTCTTTTGTTACTATTCGATTAACAATGTGTCTATTCAATCTAAACAAATACATCAAACAATAGTGTCTCGTGTTTATTCAGGAAATCCAAAAAAGACACATGGGGGTTCATAAAAGAACTCCCTTACAGCAATTTTCAATCATCAAAAAATTTCGAATTCTGCATTTGGATTTCTTCTCTCCCTACATACTACATTATTGTTTCCAAAAAGACACATGCGGGTTCATAAAAAAACTCCTTTACAGTAATTTTCAATCATCAAAAATTCTGAATTCTGCATTCGAATTTCTTCTCTCCCTGCATACTACATTATTGTTCTTTTCAATTCAAGTACATAACACAAGTTGTGCTCGTTGGTTTTTTGAAGATTGAAGTACTAATTTTTCATAAACGAAATCCGTTCTATCTTGGAAAACACTTACTTATTAACTTTGAGCACCGAAAGAGAACAAATCTATCTTATAAAAACTATGGATTATAGGACTCGGATTACATTCTTATTTTTGTTATTTTCTTATATTTGTTCTGCAATCAAGTAAGCGCATCATCTCAGTTTTATATTATTAGTTTGCATGTAACAATATACTTAATGATTTAGATTTGCTACAATAATTAGTTTTAATTTAATTATAATTATATTTTGGATAAAAAGTGCAACAATAAAGTCCAAACCAAGAAGGTAAAGTATAGAATATAGCATGAGGCACACAAGTTTGTAAATACGCTAGTCATCTTGATTATTTTTCAAATGTGAAAGAAGTGCATCTGATAGTAAAACTCAAATTTCAAAATGAAAATACAAGATACGTTATAGCCATAAATAAAGATGGAAAGCTTTCATCAAATCCAATATCTTGTGACACTCTCTAATGTGTTGAGTGCACAGCATAATAAAGGTCCCAAAACCAGCACCAATCAATAAGCTCCAGCAGAAGATTATTATGGTTCGCAGTGATGACAGGAGACAATATGACATGATGGCACTTGCTTGATATAAAGATATAGCTTGATTGAGTGGTCAAATTAGTTTCATGTGTAAGAGCCTAGGAAGTTGGGAATTCTGGTTGTTTCTCTATAAAACAAACTTGCTGCCACAATGCACAGTTTAGGAATAGTTTCCTAAAAATGCAAAAATATTTTGCTTTCTTTAAAGTAATAGACACGTGTTCATATCCCAATCGATGATTGAACCTGAACCAACCATGGGAAAAACATACCAATCAAAGTACAACCTCTTGATTTCCAAAGACTTGAACTTGATTTGCAAGAACATTAACACAACCCCTGATGAATAAGTCCTACCTTCTCTCAGCTCATATGTGGTAGATGTTGGTTATGCTATCATATGCAAGTGGAGATGTAGCAGTAGCAACAAGATGAGACGGAGATCTACAGATAGGATGAACTTGTGATTCTGATAAACTGATGTGTGCTTAATTATCACATGGCCCAAAATTTTAGGAGCAAAGAATCATAATCAAGAACTACAAGAGAAGTATGATTGGACCACCAAGTATCAAGTTTATCAGTTACACCAACTTTATGAGTTCAATAAACCTGGAGGAACCAACCAATCTTCTAAAAAGGTCCAGTTTGATCCCATTAATCGATGGTGCTGATGACATGGAGTAACTTGATACAGACTTATCCTTTTGCATTATTTCCACAAAGTGGCTATTCTCGTATTCAGCAAA